GTGTTCTTATTGTAGAAGAACAGGTCATATCAAGGATATATGCTTTCGCCTCCATGGAAAGCAAAAAGTCTTAGAAAAGATGGCACGGATGCGTGGTCAAGCGCATTTTACTTCCTCTGATATAGCTCCTGCACCTAATGAGACCCAACCTGCATTTCGTCAAGATGAGTTGGAACGGCTCCGGACCATCCTTGATTCTCTGAGTAAGCCATCTGGTACTAGTGCTTTGGCTATGACTGGTATGAGCTCCAATACTTATTCTTTTCTTACTTCATGTACTGATTTTAAACATTCTTGGGTTATTGATTCTGGTGCTACTAATCATATAGCTTGTTGTGCTGACTCCTTTATTTCTTATAACCCTACCATTGGCCCTCACCCAACACCTTAAGATTTAACCATTAAAAAGACCCTCATCCAATACCTTAAGGTTTTGGGTTGGAGTGGTTCTTAACATGGTAACAGAGTCTCGTGTCCCGGGTTCAATCCTCATTGTCCCCACTTTCTTTCTAGTGGAATTTCTTTCTTCCCACAGCTAGGTGGGCCTGTGCATTGTCCACTCTTCAAGCCTAGTGGGCTCTCGTGTGAGGGGGCGTGTTGAGATATATAAAACCATTAATATAGCCTCAACCCAAAAGCTTAAGCTTTTGGGTTGAATTGGTTCTGTTGAGATATATAAACCATTAATGTAGCCTCATCCAATAGCTTAAGCTTTTTGGTTGAATTGGTTCTTTACATGGTATCAGAGCCTCGTGTCCCGGGTTCGATCCTCACCGCCCCCCACTTTCTCTTGTGGAATTTCTTAGCACAGGTAGGTGGGCATGTGCATTGTCCACCCTTCAAGTCCAATGGGCTCTCGTGTGAGGGGGCATGTTGAGATATATAAAACCATTAATGTAGTCTCACCCAATAGCTTAAGCTTTTGGGTTGAATTGGTTCTTTACATGGTATCAGAGCTTCAGTGGCTATAAGGTCACAAGTTCGATCCTCACCGCCCCCCACTTTAAAGTGAAATTAAAATAAAAAAGCACAAAACGTAAACAAAAAAATTGGGCCTGTGCAATATCCACGCTTCTAACCCAAAAGGCTCTTGCGTTAGGGGATGTGTTAGAGAATAATATAAATCATTAAAAAGACTCTCATCCAATACTTTAAGGTTTTGGGTATCAGTGGTTCTTAACAATGTGTAAGTACTAGAATTTTTCCTGCCATTCATTGCATGACCACGTTTATGACAACAGTAGTTGATATTGGCTCTTGATTCCTGCTTCTTAATACTTGTATCACATGAGTTGTATTATATTTCTGTTATTATTCATTCAATAAATGAATTGATCAGCATGCAGATTGTCCTGTGCTTTCCCTTCCGTTCCTTCAACTTATTTTTTCTCTCTATGCTTGGAAATAAAAATATGCATTATGATCTTGCTTCTATTATTTTCAGCTTGCCTTTTACATTTTATAATAATGAGCAACTTAATCAGTTTGTTAAAATCAGTATCATGATTGGTAGAAGAGAATCTCTCTTAGCTGTAAGTTTAGACCCTTCATTTCTAGATTAATGTAAATTCCTTTTGCATAAACTTAGTTGCAATGTCAGCCACCCCTTCCACCCAAACCATGCATGTTCTCATTTTGGGCAGGAAATAGTGTGCAGAGTGTTAGACTGGGGTGAGATGCAAAAAATATTCTGTAATTTTGGTAACTTCAGGTAATTTTTGTGGAGTCACCGATTATCTGTTGATCTTGTCCAGTGAGATACAGCTTAAAAGCCCAAATTGGCTTTTTGGCCAGAGAAAGTATGAAGAAGGTTCCTCTGCTGCAAAAGTTGCTTCTCGAGAAACTGACATTGAGGGATCTCAAGCTAATGGGTTTTGCAATTTGAATTGGCTTTCCTTTGGCAATGAAATGAATGAAGAGGATGTTTTCCAAAGGTATGTATCTAAAAAGGGCCTTATACTTGTAATTCTGTGATGCACCTTCATTTTGTCCTATGATGTTCAGTGTCCCATTTGGTCATTTTTCTGGCTAATCTCTTCGCTTTAGGTCACCACCAACGGATTAGTATGTTTATTTAGTGCATTGTGATTTGTGCGCTTTAGACAGAGCTGAGCTATGCCAACCAGACTTTCTTGACATTAACAGACCAAACTTTGTGCATCTGGACCTGATCTGTTAAGTAGAGCTAGAGCTGTTAATATTTTAAATGGCCACGTGGAATTCTGAACTTCATTACTTTTCTGCAGTTGGCAATAACTTTGGTACAATTGGTTTAAATTATGAAGAAGTTCCCTTCAAAAGTTGATTTTGTTCTTCTCTAGGATCTACTATATTCAAAAGTGTCGGAAAACCAAAGTTGTGTTAGTTTATTACTGCTGTTCTTTGATTGGTTATGAATCCTGTGAGAACAGTGACCATTTTGCCATGCTTGGCAAAAAAATTTACTAGATTGTCACGTCAACAATAAATTTTGTCAAAATGCCACGCGGTATATTTCGCTACACTGTGTAGCGAAATATGTTTGCAAGTAATTCGTTACACAGTGTAGCGAAATATGCCATGTCAAGATGCACAGTCAGCAAAAATGACACTTGTCAAGCAGGCAGAAATTCGCTACACTGTGTAGCGAATTATGCTTGAATCTGTCTGCTTGACACGTGTCATTTTTTGCTGACAGTACATCCTGACATGGTATATTTCGCTACACTATGTAGCGAATTATTTGCAAACATATTCCGCTACACAGTGTAGCAAAATAGGTCGCGTGGCATTTTGGCAAAATTTATTGTTGGCGTTGCAATCTGGTAAATTTTTTTGCCAGATGTGACAAAATGGTCACTCTTCCAATCCTGTGTTGTCCATTTGGAGCATATAACCACTGTAGACTGTCCCACATTAATTTATTTTCTTTCTCTTTGATGCCTTTAGTTTGTTCATTGTACAGATGATGTTTGCTCTTTTTGTACTCTCTAATTTTTTAGGTACCTTACAATGACCTCAGCAAACGAGGCCAACGGTTGGTATGGAGGTACTCTCCTTGGTGATCAAGATGAAAGCAGTGAGATATATAAACATTATGCTGAGTTATGTCAGGTATATACTTCCTCATGAATAATGTACATGCTTACGCCACTTTGAATCTAGACATTGTTCTATGAATCACTAACCATTGCTTGCTTCAAACAAAGCACAGTAAACAGAGGTCCAGACTTCTTTAGTTTAACTACCTGCTAGTGCTGGGTTAGTTGGTATGTTATGTTTTCAGTTTTTTTGGCGTAAGTCATGGTGGTGGGGGTAAAACAAGTATACTATCCAGTGGGTCCTGTAAAGAAAGGTTTTCAAGAATTTTTTCTAGTTGGTCTTGAATAATAAATTTATATGACCACCCCCTCCCTAAAAAAAATCCCCATGAAACCCGGACTTGGAGGATAAGGTTCCCAAAAAATAAAATTAAAAGAACATGCAAGAAATGTAATCAAGAAAGAAATAAACAAACAAACAAATACTGAAATAAAGCGCATAAAAGAACATGTAGGATGTCTTGTGTTGTGTCGTTAAGACATTAAATCTATATGCAGGGACCTGCATTGGAACTTTTCCAAAATGACTCCGAGAGGGAGCAACACTATGCAGATGCTTTAAGCATGAGTTCATCTGAAATTGTTAATGATGCTGCCGTTGCAGCAGAAATGGAAGCAGCTATAAAGGAGTATGACCAAGTTGGTGCTGACCTTGGGATAATTCCTAAAACATGTAAATTCTTTGCTGATGATCCAAGCTGGTTGACGAGATGGTTAATTGGGGAAGAAAAAGTATCTAGGATATGATGAGTCATTTGCTTTGGCAAATATTGCGGAACACTTGATTTTTGTACTATTTCTTCAACTCTTGTTCAGACAAAACAAGTCATTGTCAGTTTTTTATAAGGTTCGTTTCTTCTTCTTCTAAATACTTTTGTTACTTTACAAAACAAATATAATACAATTTTAAAAAGTAATGGTCGAGATAATCTTGTATTCCTTTTTTTATTTACTAAAATATCACAATTAATTAATTAATGAGTATGATTCAATAAATTAAACCGTTAGATGCACGAAAATTAACTGTTATATATATGCACAGAACCATTTTATATTATTGTAAGTTACATTTTTAACTTTAATTGTTGATCTTATTTATATCTAAGGAATTTAATTTATTAAATATATGAGTCGTTAGATACGAGCAAATCAATGACTAAAATTGGGTGTAATATATATATATATATATAACAAGACCAGCTTATACTAGTATAAAAATAAGGAATCTTGCACTGAATCTCGTTTGTTAATTCACTTGTATTCAATGGTTTACGTTATTAAAAAATTAGAACCGTTAAATATAAATGCAAATCAATGACTAAGATTGAAAGTGTAATTTATACTAGTGTAAAATAATTTTAATCATATATATAGTGGCTTATTCTTGTACCGATGAAAGAATAAGAAATTTTACATTTATTTTTGGTCATTGACCTTGTTATATTCAATGGCTCACATAATTCAAAAATTATAATCATGAGACAAATGAAAACAGTCAAAATTGATAGTATAACTTATACTATTGTAAAATAATCTTTCTGTATTCGAAGTTACTTGATTAATGCTATTTTTATAAATAAATAAATAAACAAAATTTGAGCCTAAAACTTATTAAGTGAATGAGGGTTGGAACTTCTAGTAGAATCTTCCTCCCACGCTAGTGGTGAGTTGTGTTTGATTTCCAAATTTTCTTGTTTGGTAAATCATATGTTGTGTCAGTTTAAATCCTCAATGAAATTAGTTATTTTTCCTGGTGTTGCATAGGACGTTCCTCACCCCATCTAAACTTTTGTATACCAAAAAAAGAGAGAGGAGACGTTATGATTACGGGAATGGAGAGGTGAAATAGCAACGTACGTGGGTGATGGTTGATAATTTCTACAAAATTAAGTGAGGCCTATATGATATATCAGTATCATATCAGGTTCTCCTTCGGGCCATGGAGGTAGCATTTCCATCAAAGAAATCGTCAATCAAAATCTCAATGTCCTCGGGATGATACTTGATATACTTGTCAACATGTCTACCTAATTCAAGATGGTGTTTGAATCTTCCAAGAAAGGAGCGGTAGGCAGGGATGACCAAAGCAGATATTGAAACCCTGAGTTCGGACTGAAGTTGCTCGTCACTCACCATCCAAGTACTCTGCGTCCTGTGTATCTCTTCAAACATGGCATTGAAGCTCTTAAACCACTCCTTGAGAACCTGTTTTGAAACCTTGTTCCCACTACCCTCCGGGTTAAGGCACCGCAGCACCTTACTCCACGTCTCCCTCTGATAATTCTTATGGTACAATCTCAGTCCCGATTGCCTCCTCCTGCACCAATTGTCACCCATGGATTCGTGAAGCTCCGCGCACCCTTTGATCTTCTGCACCATGTATCTCCCATTGTTCATTAGAAAAACATACCGCAAAGCTGGATCCCTATATAGCTTTGACTTCTTTTCAACATTTGCATCCAAAATGTTCATGATTGTCATTAACTGAACCGCAAAAGGTGAATTCTTGGGCGTCCCATCATCCTCTATGTTTTCGTTTTGTAGTATCTGAGTCCGAATCATCCTCATTCCCTCAACATTAAGGCATTGCTGAAACACATGCTCCAACGTATCTTTATACTCGCATGCATACTTGAGATAATTCATGACATAACGAGTCAACGGATGAACAGCACCGTTGGGGACAGGAACCCTTTCATTATCACTCTTGATGGAGTTTTCCAAATCAGAGAACATGGCAACGACAACCTCTACAATCCTATCCTTTGTTGTTGCTGTCTCGTATGCTAACTCCTCCACATCAATAACGCCAACCTCCACTTCCCTCAGGGTCTCGTACATATCTAGGAACTTGAATAGTTTCTCCGCTGATGGTTTCGTTAAAGCCACACCTTGTGCGAAAGTCAGAAAATGGATGATGACGGCCCGTGCAATATCACTGAACAGAGTCTGAGATATGGAGGGTTGATTCGGGAACACGGATTCATACAGCCTTCGCTCGGCGTTGAAGAGCACCGTGGTGCAATGTCGAACCACTTTGTTCCACGTCATAATTTCTCCTTCCAGCGATTCCCATTGCATTCGATGAATGTCTTCCATTGTTACATTTGCGTATCCAAAGCTTTGCAACACAGTTTTGAAAGCGCTTCGTCTGAAATGGGCAAAAGCCATGCAACACTCTGTTTGATAACCGGAGAGGATCATGGCGGTGGCGATCTTGTTCAAAATGGAAAGTTTTTCTTTAGAGAAAGATGGGAAGTCTTCATTCTGATCATGATCGTTGAAAGAGGCGGCAGGGGACTCGCTATGAATATTGGCACACAAATCGGAGTCCTGAAGAGAACCAAAGGAGGATGACTTGTTGTGTGTTTTGGATTGATGTTTGTGTTTGGGATCTTGCAGAAGAGCGCAGAGGTCTTTCTCCAAGAAAGACATTGCTTTTTGTAGGACGGAGCTAGTTTTGTCCAAGGCAGAGGAACAACTCAAAGTGGTGCAGAGCTTGGAGATTCGATCCACAGCATCTAGAAAGGACTTTTCATCCTCTGGGTCATGCCCAAACTTACTTATAGTCATGTGTCTCCCCATGTTGATGTTGATGTTGTATTTATCCACCATAGAATCCAACAAATTGGATAACAAAAGAACACAATCGGGAACTACTTCCCTGACCATAGGAGTGGCGGCGTTGTTGTTGTCGAGAAAACGATCCACCTCCTCCAGAACCTGTGGGAGGGCCTCCTTTCCAACATTACTACTATTATTTCTTGATGAGAAGCTGGAGGACTTATCCATCTACCTACCTAACGATTTCGGTCTTGCATGTGTTGTTATTCTAATCTAATTCATTCATTCATTCATTCAATCAATCAATCAATCAAAGAGATGAAGAAATTCATGATTCATTTTTCATTTCCTTATTTTCAATGCTCACCTCCCCATTTGTTTTGTTTTGTTTTATTTGTCTATCCTCTACATGTATGTTTCTTTTCTTTGGCTTTACTTTCTAGCTATTTAGGTGGAGATCACACACCATATTTTGACCGTTGACCCAAATGTGAAGGCATTCCAATCTTTTTGAGCAATTTATATCCATCAATTTCCATCTTAACCGCACATTCTTTGGAGTAACAAAAACATGGATAAAACTAAGAAAGAAATGCAAGAAAGAAAGAAACACGTGGATGAATTACTGTTTCTTTTATTTCATATTATCCAATAAAAAAGAATACATATTTTCTTTTTTGCCCTTCCTTTTATTTAAGAGAGAAAAGATGAAAAATTGGTTGAATATAAAAAAAATATTTTCCCTTCAAATCCTTTCCTTTCCAATTAAAATACTTTTTTCAATTTTTTTTCCTTTTTCGATAAAAAACTTCGTATGTCCAAACAAACTCTAATAGGAGTCAATAATGGCCAACAAAGAAGATCTCACACACATTTTCTTGCTTTGTAATAGAATTTAAGAAATTTCTCCATCAAAAGCTCTTTTCGCTGGCTTTGTTTGCATATAACTAGGATCTTAAGTTAGTGTGTCTGGCAGGTTGCTCGTAATTTATTTCTTTTTATTTTACAAATTACGGATATCTTTCATGAAAAGCAATTCTATTCGAATCGGGAACATTCACATCATGGCGAGGATAACTCTCCGAAAAGAAATTTTTTACATTCACAAAAACTTAAACCCAATAACTTACTTAAGCGGAATCAAGCACTTAAATCAACCCCCTTTGGCTACCTAATTCATTTCATAGTTCATCATACCATGGTTTCAAATTTTTCATTTAGTGAGTTCAGGAACATCACATAACAGTAGAAGTGTTTCGTTTAATATAATCTCCCTCTTCTAAATTTCAATTAGATAAAAGCACACGATAGTACAAAACAATTATGCCTCACGCTAGCCCATAAATAAAGAATGTCCCTCATGGGGATCTTCACCATATACCAGCTTCATACTTGTATAGTTGAACTAGTATAGAGCCTAAATCTAGATAAACTCTACTAGCTAGACCTGTTGAATATGTTACCTAATCTCTAACTCCTTGCCCACAACTACAAGAAGAGTTTAACCCAGGACTTCGTGTATGATAAGCTTTGCAATAGATGAAGTTCCATTTTCCCATTTTATTAACTTGAAACCTCACGCTCACGCCTTCACATTCTCCTTATAAGAAGCCCAAGTTTAGCACACCCGTAATATCTATTGTATTTGAAGCTCGCATTCTTCATTGCTGAAGATACGCTGACATTAGTGTACCAAAATATATATATATATATATATATATATATATATATATATATATATATATGCTGACATTTTGTTCGTTGATCTATGTTAATTTTCAAGTCTACAAAGCATTACTCAATTTTTTAACTTGCATTTTTTGCCATCGTTTTTTTATTAGAGTTTTCATATTTTTAGTTGGGCTAGATTGCGTACGTAAAACCCAAGACCAATCTGCTATAAATTTCATGTTATGGTTTGACTAAAATTAGATTAAAGTCGTAAGTTTCTTAAAAAAACTTACTAAGAAAGAAGAGCACATCAGCACATCTCACTGAAGTTGCTAAAACACATGCATTATGTTTGCTTAAAACAATACAAATATATTTCTCCTCTCTCTCTCTTTTCTTTAAAAAAAAATACATATATAGTGACTAGCAATAGTATTTGATATAGGATAACTAGATATGTTGACTTATGTTACTTTAAGCTTGGGAGTTGATTTTAGAAAGGGAAGAAAATGAAATGGAGGATTTTAGTAAATCCTTCTTTTGTTTGTGAGTTTAAAAAGATAAGGGGATGTATTAAAAAAAAAAAAAAAAGATGAGGGGAAGAAATTGGAGATTTTTACTAAACTTTTCAAAACTCTCATTCTTCCTAAAATTAAAGTTCTTCCAATTTGGGGGGTTTGAGGGGGGAAATATTTAAATTTACTTATTTACCCTTAGCATTAAAATGTGAAAACTACGTAAATGTGAATCATTTTTAAATGTGAAGCTATTAAAAAAGTCTTTAATACCGACATAATTTATAGACGGAAAAAATTTCATCGAAAATAATGACAAAATATTTGACAAAAATCATATTACGACGAAAATAGAGACGAAATTTTTTTTCGTCAAAACTAGAGATGGAACAAGATTTTGTCATAATCACCGATATAAATTTTTGAGGGAAAAAAAATTCAGTCAAATTTATTGATTGAATCTAAATTTCGTCGAAACTTTTGACAGAAACATTTTCGTCAAACTTTCCAACGAAAAATAATTTTGACGAAACATATTTCCATAAAAAAAATTTGACAGGAAATAATTTCGTCAAATTTTTTTACGAAAAATATTTTCGTCAAATTTTTCGACAAAAAATAATCCCATCAAAACTTTCAATGAGATGCATTTATAGCGAAAATTTTGACAAAAAATATTTACGTAAATTTTTTTGATGAAAATAAATATAAAGTATTAAATATGGAGAATTATAACCATATAAAGATGGAAATAAATATAACCGTTAGATTAACATAATCGATCTAACGGTGAAATTGATTGGTAATAACATTAGTAGTAACACTAGTTGTTGTTACAATATCCTTTCCCTACTTTAATTACTAAAAAAATTATTAATTTTTTTATGCATGTGATATTCATGAGTTTAACCTAACCTTAAAAAAATAACGATCCAACTCATCTGGCAGCTCTTATGAGTGGGTTGAGTTGAATTAATTTTGATAACCTATGAGTATACTTCAAATCCATTTCAACTTAAATCATAATTATCATTAATTTGAATTATTAAATAAAGAAAGTAGTAGACGTTTTATATGTTTTCAAAATATTAAATACATTTACTTTTTATTAAATAATTCCAAATTTTCTAAACTAATTATTATAATAACCTTCTACTTTTTCGTTTAATATTTTTTATAAGCACTAAGAGAAATATTTAAAAATAATAATAACATTGTTCTCTTTTAGTTAATATTTATTTATGAAGCATTATAATGATTATTACAATGATGATAAGGATATAGCATTACTCTTTTGTTATTTGTGTCTACGTCTTGATAAAGAATTTTGGTATATTCATTCCTCCATATTATCTCTTTTAATAAATTTTTTAATACTTAATAAAAAATATTAAATACATATTTTTAATAATTAAGAATGTTAGTATAAAGAATTAAACAGAGTTTGGAAGGTGTGGTGTCACGCAGAGACCGTGATCGTGTGAGCAAACTTTTAGTATATTCGGTGTATCAAACATAGTGTACCCTTTTATTAAAACAGGTAAAAAGAAATTAACTTTAATCCTTGTTTTTTTTTTTTTTGGGTATCGTATCCTTGTTTTTATTTATATTCTCCTTTATGTCACTTTGAACTTTTTCCATTTATTAAACTTGGTAAACTCGTAATATTAAAAAATTTCCATTTCCAAGTAAACTCAAAGGCCCTTGCAATAAGTCTTAAGTGTATCCTTCCTTCGTGTCTAAAGGGGTGTTTTGGATTAAAATTTTAAAAGATTTTTTTGAGATAAAAAAATCTTATAAATTTTAAAAAACTACTTAGAATTGGAGAGGTTTTAAAGATTTTTTTAAAAAATTGTTTTTACATTCAAGATTTCATAAGATTGAATTTTAAAATATTTTAATAAAATTTATAAAATTTGAAAGAACAATATGGATTTATAAGATTTTAAAAAACCATATGAATTTTTAACAAACATTCGAAATTACAGTAGTCAATAAAAGAAATAACAAAGAAATGTAATAATGTCATTTAATATCAGAGTTGTGCACATATGATTATAAGACCCAATTTTTTTTATTTATTAAAATAATTATAAATTTGCATATAGAACCTAAAGTTCATGATAAAATTTAATTTGAATTTTTTTGTAATTGATCTTGAAAATCTTAGGGTTTTTGTTTTACGTGATGAGAGTTTTTTAACTATATTTCATATGCATGTTTTCATTGAGTATTCTAAGAAAATTTCGAATATGAATTCTGAGTTTTTAGTTATCTATTAACACAAAAATTGTTTGAAATCGCTTCATATAGCGAAGGAATTTCGTTCATGAATGTATTGTTACAAAATATATGTTCATATTATGAAAGTTTCAATCTTTCTTTAAATTGATATTGTTTATTGATGTAAAACAAAAATTGATTTAAGAATTGCGACCCATAACTTGAAAAATCATGTTTTAAACTTCCAAAAGCTTTAAAAAATCTGCTGTTTTTGTGATGGATTATTAGAATCTTGTTGTTTTTGGGTTATTTCGTGATGAAAATCGCTCAAAAAATATTATTTTCCAACTTTGACGAAGCTCCCATGTCGAAACCCGACTTCGAGCGGGTCAACCCATCAAAAAAAAAAAGAAGAAGACAGTATAATAGAGAAACCTGAGTTAAGGTGAAATTGTGAAAGAGACATTTAATTATATTTCTTATTAAAAGTCTCATAAAATTCACACTAATAGAAGTCATATTCTTTGAATACCACAAAATTAAATATCTACCAATTTATATAAACTCTCAAATTATCTTTTAAAATTCTAATCAAATATCACCTAAATATATTTTTTTCAATTTTTAAAAATCCATTAAAATAATTTTTTTTAAAAAATAATTCATTAAAATCGTTTGAAATCTAAATTAAATTCATCATCCTTTTAAGTGTGATAAGTCAAAGGTGTAAGTTAATCACTTGTAATTGTAAGTTGTAAGCAGCAGAGGAAGCTCATCTGTTTTATTTTGTTTTATATATTATTTAGCTGTTATGCCATCCTACCCAGCCAATTACAAGAGCCTTCTTCTTCTTTTTTAATATATCGAATAATCGTAGAATCTCTTTTTGTTTTAGGTAGGAATTGGAAGACGAGCCAGCCCTTGATTGAGTCTGAGTCTGCGTCTGAATTTGTTTGACCAGGGAGCCAAAAATATTCGAATGGGGTGTTTTTCGTGTTTCGATTCGAGGGAGGATGAGAAGCTGAATCCTAATCCTCAGCATGAGAGCCATCATCATCATCATCTTGATCATCATCATAAGCTCCCCTCCAATATTTCCAGATTTCCCTCTGTCTCTGGTTAGTTATTTTCCAATCAACTCAACTCAACTCGTTGATCTGATCTGATATTCTGATTTAGATAGATGCTAGGATAGCTTCCAATTCAAACCATGAATGAAATGAAAATGAATTGCCCTTACCCTTTTCTCTTGTCATCCATCAATCAAGGTTTTTCACCCCGTATGATACGAACGAATATGAAATCAGATCCCATATGATATCTCAGTTGAACATAGGTTAATGATCAGATCAATTCAATTCGATTCAGTTAATTAACATTTCGAATTGCAGGAGAAGACAAGCTACGCTCAACAACTAATGGAGACTCCAAAAGGGAATTGCCTGCTCTCAAGGACGGACCCGCTGTCCAAATTGCCGCTCAAACTTTTACTTTCCGTGAACTTGCAGCCGCAACCAAAAACTTCAAGCCCCAATCCTTTATAGGGGAAGGTGGCTTTGGAAGGGTCTACAAGGGACGCCTCGAAACCACCGGTCAGGTAATTCCATTTTCAACTCATTTAATCAACATCAAATCCTGATTCCTCTCTTGTTTTCACTCTTCAATTTCAACCAAAGAACATGGTCTTTTTTATTCAAATTCTTCTTCTTTTACATATGTATGTATGTATACATATTCAAGGTTTCGACCAATCCGGGATTCAATCAGGGTAAATCGCACTAAAGAAGTGGTGTGGGAATAAAAGCACTCTTTTTTTAATAAAACAAGATAAACATTAATCTCCTCATCTCAGAGTTATTGGTTGGTTGAGGCCTCTGGTTACTAGTGTGTCCTGAAATTTGTTTATTTACCCGTGTAGGTTGTTGCTGTTAAACAGTTAGACAGAAACGGTCTTCAGGGTAATCGGGAATTCCTTGTGGAGGTTCTCATGCTCAGTCTTCTGCACCACCCTAACCTTGTGAATCTTATTGGATACTGTGCGGATGGGGACCAACGCCTTCTAGTTTATGAATTTATGCCATTGGGATCATTGGAAGACCACCTTCACGGTATAGTTGTGTTGTACCCCTCTCCTCATTTCCGTGACTAGAATTTCTTTGTTTTAGTTGAGTATTTTCTCAGCTATTAAGTCATTGGAAATTAGTATTCTCTTTCACAAATATCCTGAACATCAAGACTAGCAGCTAATACATTAAAATAAAAAAATTAAAGTCTCATCAGTAACTCTGCAGTCTTATACAGTACTAGTACAGGGGAGGATAACATTAGAAATAATCTGAAGTTTATAATTTCTTAGCAAAGACTTAAGGTCAGGTATTACATAATCTAACACCACTGATGAAAGTATGAAATAGTTTAAGTTACTTCTATGTGTTTTGCAATACAGAAAAATAAATATAATTGAATGCTCTGATGCAAATAGCTGTTCTGAAATTAAATCCTATAGCAGTTAGTGTATTCTAGGACATACTTGACTTTCTCTTGTAGAATCTCATTTCTTGTTAGTGAGTGGGCTGTTCTCTACAGTGCATGTTGTTTGTTTTTCTTACATATCTATTCCACAGAATTGTCTCGAACTCATTACAACCACCAAAAGGATTTTGGTGGTTTTAACAGTTCCACATATTTTTGTCTTGAACTCAATATGGTGACATAATTATCTGTGGATTTTTTTCCCATATATGGGAACACTCATGCTTATTATTTTATGCGCTTTTAGTCATTATTTTCCAAACTTTGCCTCTCTAATGTATATGATTGTAGCTGTTAAGAGTTCTTGATTTTGCCACTTCATTATTGTCAAATTTTCTTCTCATCTTGTTAAATACTTCTATTCCCATAATTCATCCTTAGCATCTAAATTATAACTCATGTTTTTTCCCATAAAATTTTTGGCTTACTCATATAGAAACTATAAAATTCTGGCCAAGAACATGTCATGATCATGACTTGAGATTGCAGCTTGCTCAAAAAATTATCTGCACCATTGATCCGGATAATATCATGTAGTTTTCCTCATAAATTTGTGCTTAATAGTATCAGCACCAATTAAGAAGAAGAAATGGAATTGAAATTTGCTTTATGCCTTTATCAAACTTGGTACTGGTTGCTTTTCTTGTTTCATATTTTGTTGCTCTCTCTCTTTCTCTCCCCCCTGACTTTTCCACCAGGTTGTATATATCACAGAGAAGCATTACGGTTAAACTTTCGGGTTGGAGCCAGGCTTTTTGATAGAGAAAGTTAAATATCTGCTCGGCTTGAATAAAAGTAGGAGAGCCTTAAGCTCCTTCCATAATTCCATATAAAAATAAAAACAAATTTTAAATTAAATAAAAGTTAAACAAAAATAGAGGATCTTTTTAAAGGAAAAAATGTTTGTCCTTTTAAAAGACATAGAATTGTGTCATTTTAGTCAAAACTAATGTGTTTTATGGTGAGAGAAACGGTTACACAATAAAAATCATGGTGGGAGACAATGAGAGGTTATTGATAATTTTTTTAATTTAAATATTAAATAAAACACAGTAGTTTTAACTAAAATAACACAATTTTTATGTCCTTTAAAAGGACAAATATTTTTCCTATTTTTTAAATTATGAGTTAAACCTAGAGCGTGTTAAACCTGTCAAAATTACGAGATAAGGGGTTTTCATATTGAAAAGTGAGATAAATTCATATTTTAATACAAATTAAAAAATTATGATAGTATATATTAAGGCAACCTCTGGCTCGCGTGATTAATATATTTTTTCAAAGCCCAAGTTTTAGCCTTCTTATTTGCCAATTAATTTACTGGAAACGTATGCAGGATGTGAATAAAATTTGTAATGAAGTGCATTGACGATGTAGGATCAGGAACCTAAACATTAATTTAATTTCTTGGTTGAAAGTAGATAAAATAGAGGTAATTATTATGTTTTCATTGAAGAGTTTAAATTTTAAGGTATGAGTTTGAATGTAGGGAATAATATCTTTGCAAAAATGTTAAGGATGAGGTTAAATACAAGGATTTCTCTCACCCCTATAGTTTTAAGTCGGAGTTTCATTGGGGGAGTGGTTTTATAGAGTAGCAGACTTAGCATCTGATCACTAATGAATCTTCCACAACGATTTATCAAGGAATTATGGAGCAATGCATCTTGAACTCATTCAGGGCTCCATGTTAGCTCCTTCAAGAGAGACCTAGAGAGAGGAATAAAGTTGTCATATTGGAAAGTGTTTTTATCGAGGATCATGCATATATATGCTATGTAGTGAGAGAAATCTAAAAGATTTTTCTGAAAATGCCTAATCAACTTAGGGTACGGGCTAGCCTTCCTTGTTAATTTCAAAGGACAGAAAAGGACTGCCATATATATGATAACCATTGTATTGCCTTCTTGAGGTGTTTCCATTTTGCATTGTTATCAGATTTGTCTTCTGATGACCGAGGATCCTCTCCAAACTTTGGGAAGAGTGGGGAATAAATGCCATGTCTGTTACATTACTGCAAACATGATGCAGTTATCATGATAACAACTGATGTTTAATCATTGTTTATTGACTCGTGTGCAGATCTTCCCCCTGATAAGGAGCCATTAGATTGGAACACTAGGATGAAAATAGCTGCTGGTGCCGCAAAAGGATTGGAATACCTACATGACCAGGCAAATCCTCCAGTCATTTATAGGGACTTCAAGTCATCGAATATATTACTTGATGAAGGTTATCATCCAAAGCTTTCTGACTTTGGTCTTGCGAAGCTTGGTCCTGTTGGTGACAAATCACACGTTTCCACCCGTGTCATGGGAACTTATGGTTACTGTGCTCCTGAGTATGCTATGACTGGACAACTGACTGTGAAATCTGACGTATATAGTTTTGGGGTAGTATTCTTGGAGCTGATTACTGGCCGTAAGGCCATTGACAGCACCCAGCCTCATGGAGAACAAAACCTTGTCACATGGGTAGTCCTCTAATCTTTTCTTGTCATTTTAAGTTAGTTTGGCATGCATCAACTTATGCGTCCATAACAATGGAGTGGTAATGGTGGTTTTCTATATTTGAGTAGGCACGTCCGCTGTTCAATGACCGCAGGAAGTTTCCAAAGTTAGCAGATCCGCAGCTGCAGGGACGGTATCCCATGCGTGGTCTTTACCAAGCTCTAGCTGTGGCATCAATGTGTATTCAAGAACAGGCAGCAGCACGTCCTCTGATTGGGGATGTGGTAACGGCCCTCTCTTATCTGGCCAACCAGGCATATGACCCTAACAATGCTGGGCATGGTTACAGGGGAGCTGGTGATGATAAAAGGAACAGAGATGATAAAGGTGGAAGAATATTGAAAAATGATGAAGGTGGAGGATCTGGACGCAGATGGGATTTGGAAGGATCTGAGAAAGATGACTCCCCGCGTGAAACTGCAAGGATGTTAAACAGGGATCTTGATAGAGAACGTGCCGTGGCTGAAGCCAAGATGTGGGGAGAGAACTGGAGAGAAAAAAGACGACAAAGTGTGCAGGGCAGTTTTGATGGTTCTAACACCTAGTTTCTAATTGTGCAAATCCCAGCACCGTCTTCTGTATCTTGGTTGCGGCCATGCAATGCAGGTTTGAAATTTTTGGGAGCTCATCTTTCGGAGAGCTGGTCTAGGACAAGTCTGGTTAGCCATTTTGGACATTGACCGGGTTCTTATTTTTATCTGTCTAGCGGCCATTCCTTGCAGTGGCTGCAACGAAACATAATGAACCTGGTACCAAAATCTTTTTTAACTCAGCCTTTTATGAACTTTGATTTCCTTTATGGATTTTCATTCACCTCGTGGGCATGAGCATAATATTGGAGTTGGAGAGTGTATATTATTTGCTAGAGCTAGAAGTGCTATCTGTTAATGTTATAAGACTGACATTTTCCGAAAATGTTGCAGTAAAAACATACGAGGATAAAATACTTGTTCCAACTGGTTTTAGGTTTCGTTTGAGCTAAAATGGGAGATTCCAAGATACTTTGAAATGTCTCTATGGTAAGCTATGGAGTTAGCAATAAACTTTTATATAACCAGCATGCAGTTGTATTTAATGAAGTGTTCTACTACGATCGAAAATTCGTTAAAATTTGAATAACAGTAGTATTCTTTTGTGTAATCCTTAATTTTATCCTCTAAAAGTAGTCTGTCACTACTCTAATCTTTCAAAGATTTTTGTCATTAATATAGATCTTTGAGTGATTAGTTTAATAAAAAAAAATTCATAAACTAATGCGATGACACACTAATTTTTTTAAGACCAAATCTAAGCTCTTATTCATTTTCATCTATCTACTTATGACAAGCATTATTTAAGTCATTTATAAGGTGTTATTATTTTGTCTTATTTGTGGAAAGCATGCAACCCAACTTGAAATTTTGGTTGTCCGTAAAATTCACGCCGGATCTGTGGACTCGTTTCTGAGTTTATGTTACGGCAAAACTATTTATACGGCTGCGGCAAAAATAATTTGTTTGCTATAGATATAGAAAAGGTAGAATATGATGTTGGATCTTGATATAAAAAAATTTAAAAAAATAAAATAAGTGGGTTTCATTTTTTTTTTTTTGTCTGAGGCGAACACTATTTTTCTTTCGTTGTTATAGAAAAGCGGGACCCAACATATACCATTGGAAGGCGTTTGATAGAGAAGAAATTTTTTTTTATTAGGGAAATATAATTACTAGGAATATGGTGAAAAAATAAGTTTGGTAGGAAAGTTAAAAAAAAGTTGTTTGGTTGGTCAAAATATTATCAGAAAAATTGGATTAAATTTTCTGAATGTATGTTTGGTTGATGATAAAATATTGATGGAAAAATAGATTGAAATGACAAAAATAACCCTTATAGTTTTTTGTAAAATTTGGTGCCACCAGTCAAATTTTCCATTTTAAACTTTTATGAAAATGGTATTTGAGATAACTACCATTTCGCATAAAGTATTGAAGTTTACCAATTTTTCCTTTTCGTTATTTGCATTTTTCTATGCTTTCAAAATGAAATATGTGCGTACAGAATTTGTATAGAACCAGAAAACATCAAAATAGGCTGTTATTAAAGAGTGAAAGAGAGGAACAATAAGAAAGAGAGTTACAACTGTAAATGAGAGAGCTTTACAAGACGGACATATGTACATGATGGAGGGTCATTTTTGTCAAGATATTAGAGTTCAACTTTTCACTTCTTTATTTATCACAAAATACCACATGTAAAGTGGTATTTTGAAATAGTGATTTTCATCACATTTTCCACACAACTAACTTTCCTATGCATCTTATTTTACTAGGGAAATTTTTGAAAAACTTATACCAAACATGGTAATACTTGATACCCACTTACACTTCTCCATCAATCCCAAAATAAATCTCTTACCAAACACCCCCTTGAATTTGTCTGATCTTTCATAAAAATTGGGGCAGCAACGTAGAATAACTTCTCTAGGTGAGACTTGTGTTGTTGTCTGAGGTCACGGTCCCTCCGAAATTTAGAAGTTTAAATACATTAAAAAGTAATCATTTTTATTTTTATGAAATAGAGTTTTGGATATATATATATATATATATATATAGGCTTATCGTTTCTCAAGTTGTTGGAGATAACTTAATCTCCGGTTACTAAATCATAACCGTACAAAGATGGATCAATGGTGATAAAGGAAGAGAGAGAAAAGGAGAATCATAACCATTCAAAGGTAAATCAATTAATATAAGGAAATAAATAAATAAAACGACGTAGTTTTGGGGTGCCGGAGATAAATTTATCACAAGCTGCTTTGAGAAATATTTTTCCTATATATATATATATGGGGAGAGATCTTTTGACTCTAGAGTAAGACTTACAACTCTTACTCCTCATCTCAACCGTTGATTTTCGTCCATCTAACGGTTATCTATAACAATTAACTATTTATTTATTTCAAATAAATAATAACCGTTAGATGGACAGAAATCAACGGTTGAGATGAGGAGTAAGAGTTGTAAGTCTTACTCTAGAGTCAAAAGATCCCTATCATATATATATATATATATATATATATATATATATATATATATATATATATATATATATATATATATATATATATATAGGGGTAATGTTTTTCTCCTTTCACATGACATAAGCAATTTTTCTACAGACATATAAAAATGGGCTCATCAATTCTTTTACATTTCTTTTATTTTAAAAGTAGTGGCCCACACAATTGATTGTCTCTATGACATGACCTAAGAATTTTTCTACAACATAATATTTGTTTTATATATATATATATATGGATTTATTATTCTTATGTCACATGATAAATAATTTATCTCCTACACACACAAATTCAAGATGAGTTTCAGTTTGCTTTTTTTCTCTCTCCCCATAAAAGTAGACCCTACTTGCATAAATGAGTCTGTAGGAAATAATAGTTATCTCCTACTGCATGAAAAAACTATTATCCATATATATATATATATATATATATATATATATATATATATATATATATATATAGGGGAATGATATTGTGACAACCAAGTTGTGTTACTACCAAGTGACTACCAATCAATCTCACTGTTAGATCGATTATGTTGATCCAACAGTTTTATTTATTTCCATCTTTGTATGGTCATGATTCCCCATATTTAAAGTGAAAGCATTAAATATGAGAAATCATAACCATACAAAGGTGAAAACAAATATAAAGTATTAAATTTGGGGAATCATGACCATACAAAAATGGAAATAAATATAACCGTTGGATCAATATAATCGATCTAACAGTAAGATTGATGGGTAGTCACTTGGTAGTAACACAACTTGGTTGTCACAATATCCTTCCCCATACATACATACATATATATATATATATATACATACATACATACATACATACATATATGTATGTATGTATGTATATATATATATATGTATGTATGTATGTATGTATGTATATATATATATATATATATATATATACATACATACATACATACATACATATATGTATGTATGTATGTATATATATATATATGTATGTATGTATGTATGTATATATATATATATATATATATATATATATATATATATATATATATATACATACATACATACATACATACATACATATATATATATATACATACATACATACATATATGTATGTATGCATGTATGTATATATATATATATATATATATATATATATATATATATATATATATATATATATATATATATATATGAGATTATCGTTTCTCAAGTTGCTGGACGTCCAGTTAGGAATCATAATCATATATGGGTGGGAAAAAGTATTAAATATGAAAAATAAATGAGAATCAACGATCAGGATTACTAGCTGGACGTCCAGCAACTTGAGAAATAATTTCACCACACACACACACACATATATATATAGGGTTTAATATGTGTCATTTAAAAGGACACAAGTTATGTCCTTCTAGTGACTTTCACAAAGTATGACCGGTCATACTTTGTGTAAATCTGAAAAGTTGCTTTTTTTCAATATACACGCAAGCGATGTAACTGGGGAGAGAGAAAAAAAAGCAATTTTTTGATTTACACAGTATGAATGTGTAAATCACTTTTGTGTCCTTTAAAATGATACTTCTTTTTCCTATATATATAGGGCTTTGCATTTCTCATTTGACATGAGATTAGAAAAATTCCTACACACATAATTCAAATCGGTCGCACCATAAACAAAAGATAAAAAATGAAAAAAATATTGCACGCGAAACGATCTCTCACTAACATGAGAAAACAATTCTCCTATTAAAAGAGAAAGTATTTTCCCATATATATAGAAAAACTAGTTGTTTGCATCTAACGGCTCAAATATTTAATAAATCGGATCTGGTTGATATAAATAGGATCAATAATCAAGATTAAGAGCATAACTTACACGGATATAAAATAATCTTAACCCACACACACACACACACACACACACACATATATATATATATAAGGAAAAATATTTCTCCGGCAACTTGAGATAAGTTTATCTCCGGTCACCCCAAAACCACGTCGTTTTATTTATTTATTTTCTTATACTAATTGATTCACCTTTGAATGGTTATGATTCCCTTTTCCTCTCTCTTCCTTTATTACCGTTGATCCATCTTTGTACGGTAATGATTTAATAGTCGGAGATAAAATTATACCAAGCAACTTGAGAAACGGTAAGTCCATATATATATATTAGATTCTCCCAAAACTCTTACTTTAATTTCTCCCTGTCTCTAGGTCCTATAGTAAAATGAAAATTATTCTCCTAAATTTGTCCATTATGCTATGAAAACGTAAATTAGACTAATGATACAACATTTTTTAAATAGTATACTAAGGGTAGAATATTTTTGTTTTTGTTATAAGAATATTTTTTCTGTCATATTTATATAAAAATAAATGTATCTTATTATAAAAGAATAAAGAAAGAAAGGTAGTGGGATTCATCTATTTTTCTGAAAGTATAACAGAAAAAATATTTGTCCAAACAAAAACATTTTTCCATATATTAACGTATTAGATGAAACTATGCACGAGAAAAAACACAAACTCTCTCCAATTCATAATTTTTGTGTTTTGTTTAAGAAAATTACAACCATGTCATTGGGTGGAAAAAATTGTTACAGAACATCAACAAGTCTGTGTGGGATAGGAGATATTTATTGTATAATATAAATAAGATTTGATTTACCAAAGGAGAGCGCCTTGATAGTTTTGGGCATTGTTAAAAAGGTTGAACTATACATTTTCCACGAAACAAAGCGGACGGTTCTATGGTGTAGTGGTTAGCACTCTGGACTTTGAATCCAGCGACCTGGGTTCGACTCCCGGTAGGACCTATGTGTTTTTTGGATTTATTTCATTTTGGCGTCCTTGGTTTGATTTGTCAGAATATTCATTTGTTAAAATTAATTTTTTATTTAAAATTTAAATTAAAAAAACCGATTACCAAAAAAAAATTAAAATTAAAATTAAAAAGAAAAACCATTCATTTATTCCTATGATTTTGATTGTATGTTTTTTTTATAAATAAATCATAGGAAGAGTAATCATTTTGACACACTTGTCAAAAAAATTTACCAGACTGTCACGCCAACAGTAAATTTTGTCAAAATGCCACGTGCTGCTTGACACGTGTCATTTTTGCTGACTGTGCAGCCTGACATGGCATATTTCGCTACACTGACGAATTACTTGCAAACATATTTCGCTACACAGTGTAGCGAGATATGCCGCGTGATATTTTGATAAAATTTACTGTTGACACGACAGTTTGGTAAACGTTTTGGCGAAACATGACAAAATGGTTACTGTTTCTAAATCACAGGTATTCTGTATCGCAAACAGATATTCTTATCTATACTTTGATCAGTTCCTATAAGCAAACTGAGTTAGTTAACAATTGCTCACTTAAATAGGACACAATTCAACGTGGACACCGAACCCTATATTAAATGTGTGTATTTATTTGGCTGCAGATAGGGCCAGAAGTGCAAAAGGGCAATGGAAGAGAAATACAAAACCCTGGAAATTGTGGAAAAGACCCCAAAATCCGGTGTGTTTTATCTTAACTTGAATCGTCCCTCACAACGCAACGCTCTTTCCCGTGATTTCTTCTCCGAGTTCCCCAAGGCCCTCAATGCTCTCGATCACAACCCCGACGTCAACGTCATCGTCTTATCCGGTGCTGGCAACCACTTCTGCTCCGGCATCGACCTCTCCCTCTTGGAAACTATCAGTGCCAATTCAAACTCCGGCGAGATTCTCCGGCGGCAGATCCTCTGGATGCAGGATTCCGTGACGGCCCTGGAACGGTGTCGGAAACCCGTGATTGCTAGTATACATGGAGCATGCATCGGTGGTGGAATTGATATCGTTACGGCCTGTGACATAAGGTTCTGTACTGAGGACGCATTTTTTTCGGTGAAAGAGGTGGATTTGGCCCTGGCGGCTGATCTGGGAACTCTTCAGAGGTTGCCCCGTATTGTGGGCTTCGGCAACGCAATGGAGTTGGCTTTGACGGCTCGCAGGTTCTCCGGTTTGGAGGCTAAGGAGTTGGGTCTGGTTTCTCGCACTCTCCATTCCAAACATGACCTGGATTTGGCCGTCAGGGATGTCGCTCACGGTTAATACTCCCTACACTCCCACTCCCTCTTTAATTCATTCCTTTGCACTTTCTTTACAATAGATTCCCACTACACTCTTCAATTTGCATCAAGTTTTAGCATGCTATTTATTGCCTTTATTACTCTTATCGTATGAAGAAAAGGAAAAGTGCTTTCATTCTGAAAAGTAAAAAAGTGAATAGTACAATACTCAGAAGTAAAGAGCTCCCCTATATATGCTGACAAACTCACATGGTTAAGCTAACAAACTAACCACTTCTAACTTACTAAAACTTACAATTTGTTATGATAAAACAGAAAACTAGTAACAAAGAACTGACTATAGTAAGTTAGTAACAGAGAACTAACTATAATAAATTGATTACAAAGAATAAATATATTCCATAGCAATTACTGTCTATGTAAATGCAAAGATCAGGATTTCCAGTATTGCTCCACACATGTTTTTCTTTTTCTTTTTTCCAATTCATTTTAGTCACAATCAGAGCTATACTTATTTGCACACTTGTGACATTTTGACCGACTCACCAAAATTTTAACTAATTCTTTTTTATATATGCATATACCACATGCCCGAATGCATCTTCCTTCTTTCTATCATTGTGGATTAATTATCTATAAGATGTGTGGCCCGGTTTCCTTCCTTTGCCATTTCTTCTTCGTCCGATCGATTATTTTACATCAACTAGTTGTTATTCTGAATGAATGATTTTTACACTTGACAGCAATTGCTACCAAGTCCCCCCTTGCAGTTATTGGGACAAAAACAGTGTTGCTTAAAAGTAGGGACTTAACTGTGGATCAGGGGTTGGATTATGTTGCAACCTTGAATTCTGCCAGATTGTTATCCAATGACTTAACCGAAGCAGTTAAGGCACAAATACAGAAACGGAAGCCAGTTTTTTCCAAGCTCTGACTATATTATATTAGAGTGGGATGCCTTGTGTTGTTACAAAACTTTTGGAATACAGCTATTGAAGACTATTATCGTTACTGTTATTTCCATTATTGTTCATGTCGATAAATAAAAATCATGAGATAATGATATAATGTATGACAGAGGTATCTATTGGTGATCATTAATCTATTCCCACTGTCTTATTGTATGCATTTTTTATACATAGTTCGTACCATTTCTCACCAATTCTCCTCCTGGTGAAGACGTGAAAGATAGAATACCACCGGAGAAATATAGTTGTGCTGACTCCCCCCTCCCATATGTAAGGTATCACTTTCACTGTAACTCATTCTGAATGGTCTAAACGAGTCTACTGTAGATTTAATTTGTGAGGATGAAGTTTTTGTAATTATTATTACTGTCACCGCTGCCTGTACTTCGTTCGTGAAGGCTTTCTTACGAACAAAATTTTCTTAGGTACAACAGATGTACCCACTTGATTACATTTTTTTTTTCTAAAAGTAGAAATTTTTTTCCTCTTTCCAGTTTTCAACTTATATTTCCATTTAAGCTCCAAGACTTTTCTTTTTTTAGGCAGAATGTATACCTACATCAGTTGCATTCAAAATTTGTTCCGAACGAACACCGGCTTTAGCACTCTTCTTTGCGAAGCCATTATCGAACATCCCTCACCATCTTTGCCCTTATTATGCCTTGTAACCGTGATGCAATGTCAGAGAGAGAGATAAAAAACGTAACAAGAAAAGAGAAACTTTATTATTCAATATATGCAACTACAGAATACAAGCATTCCTTTTATATCTACCTTATTACATTCAATTATCTTATAACTAAGGCTAACTACTTTTACATGCAACCAACTTCTAACTTCCTCTCCTAAACTTTCGGAATTGACTTCTCAGACGTAATCCTTCTGCCAAATAGGTAACTTGGGTTGGCACCCAGTAACTGGTCAAGTTAACCTTCTTTCTTCAGTATCTGTTCTTTGTACTGCATCACTACTCCCCCCAATCACAGGGACCTTGTCCTCAAGGTCAAAGTGAGGGTACGCACGATGAAAATCATGCTCAAACTCCCACGAAGCCTCCTCAGCAGCTGAATGTGACCACTGGACTAATAACTGTGTTTGGCGACGACGTTGCCCCAGCGAACTCTTAGCCAATATAGCCAAGGGTAGTTGAACTGGTTTGTTATCAATAACATCAAGTGGCAACTCAACTGGTAAACTATCTGCGGATCCGTAAAACTTTTTAAGCACCGAAACATGAAAGGTAGGGTGAATCCTACACCCATCAGGCAGTCCTAATCGGTAGGAAACTGGACTCAAAACAGCAAGCACAAGAAATGGCCCAAAAAAACGCTTAGACAACTTGTGGTTGGCTCGACGGATCACTGAGACTTGGCGGTAAGGTTGAAGCTTCAACAGGACCAAGTCACCAACTTGAAAAGTGCGGTCGATGCAATGCTTGTCAGCCAACAACTTCATTCGATGTTGAGCACGTGATAAGTTGTGTTTCAAGGAAGTGAGCAACTCATTACGTTCGGAAAGAATATTGTCTATTGCAGCAACACTGGCCAGACCACGAGGATAAAATGGAATGGAAGGTGGAGGCTTACCATACAGGGCTTGATATGGGGACATCTGGATCGAAGAATGGGTAGCTGTATTATAATGGAGCTCAGCCCAAGATAATAACGAAACCCAAGCACTATTCTTCTCATGGCAATAAGCCCGAAGGTATTGCTCCAGGTACCTGTTGGTGACTTCACTCTGCCCATCAGTTTGGGGGTGGTAAGCAGAACTCATCTTGAGCTGTGTACCACTCAATGTAAAGAGTTGCTGCCAAAACCGGCTGAGGAAAATACTGTCACGATCAGAAACTAATGAGCGTGGGAAACCATGTAGTTTAATGACCATATCTGAGAACAATTGAGCAGCTAGTGCAGCAGTGAACTTGGTAGGCAACGCTCCAAAGTGGGCATATTTGGTGAAGCGATCGACGACTACCAGGATCACAGTTAAGCCACGTGAAGCTGGAAGACCCGTGATGAAGTCCAAGGTCAGGTTTTCAAATGTGCCTTCAGGTATTAGGAGTGGCTGCAGTAAACCACTAGGAGCTGTGTTGACATGTTTGATTGCTTGGCAAGTGGTGCATTGTCGCACAAAAACACGAACGTCTTCTTTCATACCAGTCCAAAAGAAATTGGTAAAAAGATGTAGTAGGGTCCTAAGATATCCAGCATGACCCCCAATTAGTGAGCAATGGGCCTCATGTAAAAGAGTGGGTTTCAGTGAAGAAGTGGAACTGAGCAAGAATCTTTTTTATGGAACAAAATTCCATTCTTGCACGTGATGGATGGGTGCAGCTTTTGACCCGTTGAAATGCGCTGATGCATTTCCAAAAGGTCTGGTGCAGTGTGATTCTCAACTGTAATATTCTCCAGGATCTCAAACGAAGGCTCCGATACAGCTACACAAGAGCCTACCACTGAGAATTCATGTTGACGAGAGAGGCCATCAGCAATGACATTCGATGAACCTGGTTTATATTCCACGGTAAAAGAGTAACCCATGAGTTTAGAAACGTATTTCTGCTGCTCAGGAGTTTGGATGGTTTGAGATAGTGTTTCACGAATACTTTGGTGATCCGTGCGAATCGCGAAGGGAGCTCCAAGTAAATAAGGACACCATTTCTTTACAGCCTCCACAATGGCATATAATTCCCTCACATATATGCTTGCTGAAGCCATACGGAAACCCAACTTTTTGCTGAAAAAGGCAATGGGTTTACCAAGCTGCAGGAGAACGGCTCCAATGCCAGATGAAGATGCATCTGATTCCACGACAAATGGTAATGAGAAATCTGGTAAGGACAATATTGGAGTGGTAGTCATGGCTTCTTTCAAAATTGAAAAAGCCATATCAGCATCCTGAGACCAGATAAATTTTTCGGAGCTTAACAGGTTAGTCAAAAGGGTTGCAATTGCTGCATACCCTTTAACAAAACGACGGTAGTATCCTGTTAACCCCAGGAATGCACGTAAGCCTTTCACCGAAGTGGGTTGTGGCCAGGATACCATCGCTGCAATCTTCTTTGGGTCAGCTTGGACACCAGAAGCTGAGACAATATGGCTGAGATAATCAATCTCTGAAACAGCAAACGAGTATTTGGAAAGCTTAACAAAATAATGGTGCTGATGCAAGCACTCCAATGTCGTTCCCAGATGTGATACATGATCATCAATGGACCTGCTAAATACCAGGATATCATAAAAAAAACAATTATGAATTTACGAAGATAAGGACGAAAGATATTGTTCATGGCCGATTGGAAGGTTGATGGTGCGTTTGTTAAACCGAACGACATTAACAGGAATTCATAATGTCCGTCATGGGTTCGGAATGTTGTCTTGAAGATGTCCGAATCGGTAACTCTTATCTGATGATACCCAGCTCGTAGGTCCAATTTGGAAAATATTGAGGCATGGCATAGTTCGTCCAACAGCCCGTCTATTGTCGGGATAGGGAAGCAATCACGAACTGTTATGGTGTTTAGTGCTCTGTAGTCGATGCACATACGCCAAGATCCATCACTTTTCTTAACAAGTAAAACAGGGGACGAGTACGAACTGGTGCTTGTTCGTATATAGCCAGCAGCTAACAAGCATTGAACTTGTTTCTCAATCTCTGCCTTCTAGGAGTGGCCATAACGATATGGTTTCACATTGACCGGTTTGGAACTCTCAATCAAGTGTATGGAGTGGTCAATACCCCGAAAAGGAGGTAGTGATTGAGGAATGGAAAAAACCGAATGATACTTGGCCACAACCTGCCAAATGTCATTCTGTACCACGGTTTTCAAATCCATAATGTCATCTAAGATTTGGTTCACTGCAGGTTCTCCAGAAATCAATGACAGACAATTGGAATTAAACGACTTGGCATCTGTAATTGCCTTTAACTGCACCACTTGGCCATTGTGAGAAAATTCCATAGACAGATCAACGTAATTATGTATAACCTTGCCTAAAGATTCAATCCACGGCATGCCCAGAATGATATGTAAATCTTTAAGATCCAAAATCCAAAGATCAACACAGCATTTGAAGCTTTGAATTTGTAATGATACAGCAACACACTTCATATTACACAACATAAATTCACCATTACCAAGAAATACCTTCATGTTGCGAGATTGAGATATTGGAAGTCCCAACTGAATAGCTACTTATTTCTGAATGAAATTATGGGAGCTGCCAGAGTCCACCATAACTCTTACATCACCAGTGCCCACACGAGCTATGAACTGCAGCAACTTTGGCATCGAACTCATGGAAAGAGCATTAAGTGCTGCTTCTTGTAGCGTTTGAGGCATTTCATTCGACTGCCACACGATTTCATCTTCGGGCTCGATATCCTGGTCATCCATATCACCAATTAACAAGAGCATTTTCGATTTGCAACGATGCCCAATGGTCCATTTCTCTTCACAAAAGAAACATAGGCCGAGCTCTCTTCGTTTCTTGGCTTCTTCAGGTGGTAATCTCTTGACTGGTAAAGAAGTTACCGTCGGTGCAGTATGACTGGAATTATCAGCTGTTGTAGCTGATTATGGTGAAGGTGACGACATGTAACGAAGTTGGGCTTTCACGTAGGATTAGTGAAAGAGGAACGTAAATCACGATGATGACCATCATACGTGAACGCTAACTGTATTGCTTGATGTAAGGTCTTGGGTTCGTGTAACTGAATTACACGTCGTAGCTCAAGACTTAAACCGGATGCAAAGAAGCTCAAGAGCAGATCATCAGATAAACCAGGAACTTGGTTAGTCAAGATTTCAAAATCTCGCACATAATCTGTCAAGCTTCCAACCTGTGATAACTTGGAAAGTGCACCACGCATGTCAGTATATGAATCACCACCAAAACGTTGACGAACAGCTTGGGTGAACTGATCCCACTGTTGAACCGTACCGCTATTGTGGATCCATTGAAACCATGAAGCTGCTGCTTCTTCCATTCTTAAGCCAGCAAGTTCTACCTTCAGTTCCTCAGGGATTTGTTGAATCCGGAAGAACATCTCACATTTGAAGATCCATAAATGAGGGTTCTTTCCTTCAAATATTAGAATCTCCATTTTGATTGAACGCAAAGCGATGCGTTGTTCCTGGCCTGCACCATTCATATTCGGTGGGTGGTGGTTGTTGTTCACCGGAGGAGGAGGTGGAGGTATCGTCGACGGTGAAAGATCACGAATTCGAG